CGATAGCCAACTTAATACCAAGCTTAAATCGATTCCAAATGTCAATCGCGTTAAGCTTTTAATCGTTCCAACACAAGCTCGGCGAAATTGCCCCTTAAATATAAAGTTTTCGAAGTGAAATAAAAATGTAATTACAAGTTTTTGATTAAAATATATTATGATATAGAAGAATTTCGGTAACACATACGCGATTTCTAACCGACTTATAAAAAGAGGAAGGAGGTTATCAATTAGATTTATTTTTCTTGTTATAAATTATTTTCCTCTCGCGTGCGGCACAAATAAATGGGCGAGGCTCTTGCGATCTACTGGCAAAAAATCTATTCGAAACGTCGAACCCAAATTTCAGAAGCTGGTGACGAGGAGTAGCTACCATCTATTTGCGGTATCAGCTCTGCGTTCACGAATCGGTCTGCTATTTTTATTTATTATTTAATCAGAAAACACCAGCAGTATGTACAACATAAATATATTTTTTTCTCTTCCTCATCAGTCCGTAGAAGCTAGACCTTAAACCTCTTCCGCTGTATAAATTAATTGCTTAACCGTTATGCTTGGTAGGCGGATTGACGATCACTGTACCAGACGTCTCGCACCTTCAAAGCGTTTCCCTGACCAAATAACCTTGAGCATGCAGTGCACTGCCGCCCGCACTCTGCTTATGCCCATTTATCATAGAATTTTTGGAATTACTTTTAATTAAAAAAGAAAAGCGAACCTTAAAAGTTAAATAAAACGTGAATAATATAGATATTTAAATTATCTATCCATTAGTGTAATCCTCAAATGATTAGAGCGTTGCCTCTAGCAACAGATGCATGTGATCAATAAGTTTAGTCATTTTTTAAAAGTAGATTTTAAATGTATTTATAACACATAAAAACAATTTAGAACGTGGAATGTGAAGATAGGATATCGAACATTAATAATGTGATTTTAGATGTAGTTAATTTTTCATAACTAATGGGATAATAGTCTCTGAATAACGAAGAAAAACGCACTATCGCAAGGTTTTGGTCGGGGTATCGTCTTAACACTGCTACTCGTCGCTGGTCTAGATATTATCGGTCTAGCGCAAACAAGATGGTATAACGCAATCTATCGGAACCCATAAGAATTTTATGGTATATCTTATAGCTACCTTCCATTGCCACCTTTAGCGATCAAGGGTTTATAAGATAGGGGTGATCAATACTCTTAAGTCAACACCGCGTGGCATAAACTTTATATGTTTACAACTAATGTTATACCTTTGCCAGATGTATACAACAATTTCATTTGACAGCGAGGCATTGGAATTAAAAGATGACAAAAATATTGAAGAAAAGGAAAATGAAATAATAAGTTACGGCCGTCAGTTAAAAAATAAATTAACGACTCCGTAGCGCAGAGGCAAAAAATTTTAGCGACTTAACGTGTTTTTTTTTTTAAAATAAATAAAAGTAGGAGGATTAGGGAAAGTAATCATTTATCTCTTATTTAATTATCAATGTTGTCTTCTTCCTTAAATATGATGACAGAATCATAAAAGATGTCAATATCATTATCATTAATATGATTAATAAGCAACAATAGACCGTGTAGTGGCGGTGTAAGAATATTTACTACCCCATATCGCCCCGTGGGTGTCGTAAGAGGCGACAGAGTGAAATATAATAGGAGTTGGGCAAGACTTTCTGATGACCACTCAATATAATAAAAAAAACTGCTGTTGTCAGCCTTCTTGCCAAGCGTAGCAACTATGGCAATATAGGGGGGAGGATAATGTTCAGCAATGGAATTTTATAACCTGTAATGGATGGATAGATGGAGGTAGAAATAAAAAAATTAAGTTTATCTTGTTTACAGCTTAAAAATTTTACTTTTATAAATCACGCATTATTGCACTTTTTTCCCGTTATAAGCCAGTGCTTGACAATTTCACCTGATGGTAAATTGTCTTAACGTACATATAACGAATCCTATTCTATACTCTTGCCTTGTTTTAATCGGGCGGAAAACAGACGCCAGTAAATAATCCTACTGCCTTGCTGTACGCATGAAGAAATACAATGTGAATTGTTTGGTTCAAATGCGCGGAATATCGACAACAAAGGGGTGAAGACCCACTGACCGCCTGGTTTTCGGATGGTGGAATGAGGACAGAAGAATTAAGGTATTTAATTTCTGCGCACACTCTCCGAAATGCCTCCTTTAGAACACCGAGGAGCCGAATATCAACGAAACAATATTATTCTTATCATCATCAGGCCGTAACAGTCTACAGCTGGACAGATAAATCTCCTTTTGTATTTTTTTCTCTTCCTTTTATAGCGAGGATTTCCGATTTCCGACGCACTTGGCAGCTGGATCGTCGGGCTCAGTACCTCATATCTTGCACTTTTGCACGCTGCTTCGATCTGGCTAATATACATCTCGTGTCAAACGGAATATAGTTTTTCCCCAAACGTCACAACTCAAATAAAAATTATACACTACGGGTAGCCTCTAGTAGTAAGAATATCCACTACTCCATACAGTCCCGTAAGTTTCTTAAGGGGCGACAGAAGGAATCAAACCAGGAACTGCAACGTCTTTCTTAAAACAACTAGAAAATAATAATAAATATTATGCGTGCAGTTCACACGTGGTAGAAGTGAAACCTTTAGAAAATTGCAAGTAATATCGGTTTGTAATAGCGCTATCTATGTACTTCATTCTAAAGTAAAGTCATTTTATCGAACAAAAACTGATTGACTCTCAAGGTGGTACGTAAAAACGAATTTAATATTAATCAGTAAGTTATTAAATCGTGGATTGTTATTCATGGATTGTATATGATAATTTTATTCAATATGGTTAATTTTATTTCTTTAAAAAATTTGTGTTTTATCTTTAAAGGATAAACTGGTGCAAATAAAATGTTCTTAATTTTAAAAATTAGTTATATTAGACAAAAGAATGTTAATCGTACAGCGTTTGGTTGACAAGTTAGATGATATTGTGAATTTGCTTTGAGAAGCACATGAGCGCCTGCTGACGAGCTGAAGGCAATCACTTAGTTTAAGAATTGAGGGCGTAAATAGCCTAAAGAACACTTTATTTATACAAATGTAGTACTATTCTGAATAAGTAATTAGGATTATTGGATATTTAAGGGAAAATAGCTTTGAAGGAAGGACACTTAACTTTGGCGGCGAGAACCAGGTCACGTCTCGATGTATAACTTTCGCTGTTGTACTGCTCGAAACTTGATCTTCTTCTCAGTATACTTCTCGATCTTGATGCTTGAAACCCGTGATTTTAGACTGTTCACTGTAAGGTTCCGTCTATAGCAATAGATCCCTTGTAAAATTCGAAGTCCGCCGATTGTTGTATTTGATGAATTTCTTGACTTTAATTGATTTTCTTGCGGATTCTTTTTAGTTCCCCTCATGGGCCACCATGTTTTATCTTTAGAGGATAAACTGGTGCAAATAAAATGTTCTTACATTTCAAAATTAGTTATATTAGACAAAAGAATGTTAATCGTACAGCGTTTGTTTGAGAAGTGAGATGACATTGTGAATTTGCTTTGAGAAGCACATGAGCGCCTGCGGACGAGCTGAAGGCAATCACTCATTCGCGCATTTCACACTTAAATCACTTCAGTTATTAAGCCTGAACAATTTGTTAGTTTTATTAATTGTTTATTGTAATAGTTAAAAGTTATATTAATTATGACGCACAAAGAGGACACTGAGATAATAGGAAACACTGTATATTGTGTTCTATTTCATTCTCTCGCAGGCTAAATCCTATAGACGTATAAGTTTGTCTCTTTTTAATGTCACTTTTTCGTTTCATCGAGTTTCAAATCACAACGACTTTAAAGAAATTTCACTTCAAAAATGCGGTTTTTAACTCGCCTGTTAAGCCTTGCAACTATAGCAAGTAACGACCTTAAGAAACAATCTAATGTTTACTATTGAATAGTATATTATATACTTTGAAATAAATCCTAATTATTTTTTATTTTGAAACTTGTCTTCAACTCATTAATAATTTAAGCATTCATATCGAAAATGATTCCTACAAAAAAATACCTTCATGAAAAGAATGAATTTTTCCCTCTGCTGAAAACCGTAACTTGGAACAGTATTATTACATATTCGAAAAATTTGAATAGATCTAATCAAGCTGAAATTATATAAAACGCGGAGTGAGCAAAACGAATTCAATGCTCGTTTGAGGTTTTATTTTCACGAGTCATAAAGAGCCGTTTCCTTAATATTCAACATAAAATAACATTTCGATGTATAGGGTATTCAATGGGCTTCGGAAATCTTTGAATAACATAAACATATTCGTGCTTCGAAAAATTTGATGTTATTATTTTATCATCGACATTTTTTACCCAACTGCTTCAGACGGAGGATATTTTTTTTTGTCTACTTCTTTATGCTAGGATTTGGTGGCAGCGCAATGTGAATAGTTGATACCGCGGTCGTTGTACTTCTGACCTAAAGAATTATGATGTTTTTCATTATCATAATTTGATCTATACAATATTTGAGTAAAATCTATACAATATCTATACAACATTCCTAAGTAAATTTAAAAAAGGAAAGTTACAACCTATAAAACATTCCAATGCAAACATAGACCTTCTCTAATTTTTTCATTTTAATGTTGGCACACTTCGAATGTCATCGAAATGTTTTATTAATTTCTCAGACATTAAGGTTTCCTTGCATTTTGTTCTTAACTAACGAGCACGTGGTTAATCTGCAATTAAAATTGCAATTAACAATTTCATTGATGCCGCCGGTATCAAACCCAAATTACTCGCGTACTGTGAAATTTACTGCGAGCGCATAGCCCCTGAACAACCACGGTTCATTAATTTCCTACGTATTTATATACTAGTTTTATAACTAAAGTATACCAACGTTATGACTTCCATTTACATTTCCAACAGACCATATAATCAAAATCCCACTGTACTGGAACTTATATCAATAGCAACGTTAATTTGCAGCATGACATACGCCCGTATAATAAACGTTTTTATAATTCTTGCCTTAATTAAAGGTAAGTTTTTATGCATAAATGTTTATTTATTTATTTATTTACTAACAATTTATTTAAAATACTGGATGTTCCAAACAGTGACGCCCAAAAGAAACATTTAAATTCCTCACATCTAGGGGTATCCGAAAATATCCCATGTATGTTATCCGATTTTTTGTAGTTTTCGAGTTATAATTATTTTTGTATTATTTAGATTTTTCTGCCGGTGGGGATTCAAAATTAATATATTTTTTTGTAGTAGTTATTTTTCAGATTTTCTTCTATTGAAATTATTCTTTTAAATGATTCTTTCAAACATAAAATAATAAACTTCCTAACATTCCTGCAAGTTACTCGAAAATGTATCGAAAGTAAGAATTTTGATTTTTAGTGGGGTAGACTCAAATTTTCATCCTAAATTTAAAAATACAAAAAGGGATTCCCATAGGTTTTAGATAACTTTAAAAACTTTGCAAGTCCTAAAGCTATACAAAACATTTCAAAAAATTTGTAAATGCGGGGTAACGGGCTATTATTTTCTGTAATCGGCCTTCGAATGTGGATAGGCTAAAAATCCACAAAAAGTAAACATTGTTATTAAACAATTATTTCGCCTTTTTTGTCATTCTTATGTAAATTAAAGTAATAAAATGTAATTTATTATTTTTCCACCAAAACTCCAGTAAATTAACACGAACTAGATACGTACAGCACAATAATTCATAATTTAAGCATTGTTAAACGGGTTTTCGATCCTTCATGGCCAGGTAACAATTAGACCGGTTTTTATTTGCTCAGTGAAGCCCTCCCTCATACCCCTTTATCCCTGACGTGTCTAGTTCATTAGTTTAGTCGTTTACTGCCATCGAACGTTTTGAAACTGCTCGTTTACTGGTGTTTGAAGTTATTTTCATTACTCTGTATTACTTTCGATGTGTTAACTGGACTCCGATTTGCCACACGGTAACCTGTGCTGAAATCTCTTGATTTGCTTCACGAACATTGTCTTTGTGCGATCTCATGAGTTATTCACTAAGCCAATACGCAGAGATGCATCATTATTAGGGCGTTGCCCACGGTAACGGTTGTTCATCTGCAATGCTTTATTAAGAGGCACTGGAGAGGAGAGGTGAAGGACTAGAGCGTTACCTGGATCATAGGGTTTTTATTAACGTACATAATACCCTGATGACTGGACGTGTCCCTGGTCGCAATCAATCTTGCGAACCAGTACCCCGGAATCCGGATTAAGTTGACAAAGACATGCAAGAAGTCCAAAGAGACCCATCTACAAGTTCAAGAAGAATAGCTACATGAACTGGAGTTCCACAAACTTCGTTTCTAAGAATTCTTAACAAAGGTGAGCCTTAAAATATGCTGTGATACCAGTTTTAATATTTTAACTTGTGATAATAATGAGTTCTTTTTTAGTTTTGCAGAAGGGTACCATGCGTTCCATATTCCGTGCGTCCAGCAGCTTTAGGGATCTGATTACCGAAGAAAAGTGGTTTTTTAAACCATGTTACAGAGATCTGAAGAAGACCCTGATTTCTTCAAAAAAATACTTTGGACAGACGAGTACAAATTCGAAAGGACTGGAATTTTTAATATCCTCAATTACCATAGCGGGGCCATCGAAAACCCACGTCTGGCAAGGGCATCGAACTTCCAACACCGCCTTAGCCTGTCTAGCCGCCTAGTCTGGGATCCTAAATAGAAAATTTATTGGTCCCTTTGAATTACCGTCTACGTTAGATGGACTTTTAATTTTTTTTACATAATCACCTTTATGAATTGTTGGAAGACATAAAAGTTGCCGTACGACAACAAATGATTTTTCAAAATGACGGTGCTTTTTGGCACTACGCAAGACAAGCAAGACAGGATCTCAACGAAACTTCGACAAAATCGATTTAATGATTTGACAGACCTAAACCCTATCGACTTCTATTTGGAGATTTTACAAGGACCTGGTGTACGCGAGGGAAGTAAAATTAAATTTATACGTAGTACAGCCATGCTACAGCTATAGCTGTAGCATGGCTGTACTACTAATATATTAGTAGTATAGTTTTAGCGCGAATGGGTCGGCTCGGCCGGGGAAGGACCACGCTCTCATAGAATACCAGCGTAAAATGGCAGCTTGACACTACTGTGTTTCGTATGGTGAGTGTAGAGAATCGGAGACCCATTTTACTGGAAAAGAGGCATTCCATTTTAGTCCTCACGGGTGACGACGCATCTGCATTTTGATTCTTTATTGAGGGTAAATATAGATGTCTATGGGTCACAGCAACCACTTACCATCAGATGGACTGTGTGCTCGTTTATCACCCTATCCTATAAAAAAAACAAGCTCATTCACGTTCTTCTAGACAGTAAAACATAACTTTATAAAACGTTGTCGTCTTTGTATTGAAATAGAAGGACGTCATTTTGAAAACTTGCTTTATTAAAAAATTAAAATGATTAATTTTTACCAAAATTTTTTGTTGCGAGTATCTTAGAAAAATAAGCCCAAATGACCTAATGAATAAATCACACCTTATTTCCTTGAATATTTACAAATGATCATAATATTATCATCTTCATCGGTCAATTTATGTATATTTGAAACCAATTGAGAATTTACCGCTAAAATTTGCCGTAGAAATGGCAAAAATAGGCAAATAAAACTTTTTAAAGCTTAAAAAATTTTGTGGATTTTTAGCTTAATTTTTTTATGCTTTGATTAGCATAGGGACATGCAAAGTTTTTAAACTTAGCCAAAACCTATGGAAACTTCTTTTTGTATTCTTAAATTTAGAATTAAAATTTTACATCTACCCCACTGAAAGCTAAAATTCTTACTTTCGATACTTTTTGAGTAACTTGCAGGAATGTTAGAAAGTTTATTATTTTATGTGTAAAGTATAAATTAAAACAATCATGTCAAGAGATAAAATTGGAAAAATATCTACTACCAAAAAATATGGGATTTTTAATCCCCAATGACAGAAAACACTAAAAAAAATACAAAATAAATAATAACTTGCAAACAAGAAAAATCGTATAACATACATGGAGTATTTTCGGATACCTATAGGTGTGAGGAATTTAAATTATTCTTTTGGACGTCACTGTGTGGACCATTCTGTATATACAAATTAAAGATGACTTTGATATAAGTTAAAGGGCTTTCAGTTCGAAACATATATATAAAAAAAATAATAGAAAAGGAGGCAAACGAATATACGCCATATACGAATATATGTTTTTAACATAAAGTCGAATTGAGAACCTCCTCCTTTTTTAAAGTTGACTATAAAAGTGATTATATTATAATCACTGAAGAGTTATACAAATAAGAAATTTAAGCAGTGCTAAAATATAGTTAAAGTAATATTTTGCTTTATAGTAAAGTAAAAGTTGTGACTCATACGAAGTAATCATGTAATGAAATGATTTCTTATATTTATGCGTAGACTACACATTAAATGAAACTAATTTTGACGGATTTTATCGCGTTTTATTTAACTTTTTAATTCCTGACGTTTCGGGTGCTTTACAGCACCCGCGGTCACGCGGTCACGAACATGTAACATGTAATGAAAGTGGTGCAGGCTGCAGGTGGTATATTACTTATCGTATGAGGTGATAAGGTACCGAGTAGCAGCAGTGTAAGAATATCCACTACCTCTTATCGTTCCTTGGGTGTCGCAAGAGATGAGAGAAGAAAGCTTGGGTGGGAGATGGTTAGCAGCATCATTCTAATAACAACTCAAAGTTATAACAACTGCGGCTACCAACCCGCGTGCAAAGCGTGGAAACTATGGCAAAATCACCCCTATGAGGTACTCTATAGGGAAGATCTATGTTCAGGAGTGGACTTTTATAGGCAATTTTTTTATTGGAATAATAAATATACAAAGTTGTGACCCATATACATCCCAAATCTTCTTTGCAAGTATAAAGAACCAGAGAAGAGTCCATCGCGCCTGGATCGGAGACTTTATATGGCAAGATTTCCTAATATTATTCGTCAGCCCCAAGATTGTTGTAAAAAGGCAATTTAAAAATGTAAGGGTGTCATCACCGGAAATCGAACTTATGTTCACATACTATGAATTTTATTTCTTCTCGATTCCTATATCCAATAAACGTTTCCTTCTCCGTAGCAATCTGTTTTATTACACATGAGGTACATGTTTATGGTAAACTTTTTATTTGGCAACAAAATCAAAATTAAACAATTGCTAAGTGATTTGTAAGGTGACTAGTTGTTTAACTAGTATTGTTTTAAAAAGGCGTATTTAAAAGAGTTTTTTTTTTAATATAAAAACCTCGCATTAAAGAAAGCGCCTTGCCCTGCCACTGCATTTTTTTTAATTTTAAGTGACATAACACTTACATGAGAACTTACATGGTTGCCTGCAGCCCATGGACACCTGCAGCCAGCTTCAAATAAAGAAGGATACAGATGCGCTATCACCTCTGAGGACCAATATCAAACGCTCCAAATGATATATTTATATCTTCAAATAAATACACAGCAATTCACGAACTGCTCTTTGGCGGCAATAATAGCTAAGAAAGTTAAAGATGTTAAAAATTTATTAATTAAGATCCGCGTAGTAAAACAAAATGATTTGCCTTACCTAGTTTAAAATATTTTACCTATTTTGAGAGAAGAGGGTGTCACCTCGGACAACTAGGCAAACAAAGAGTATTTAGTAGTTAAAACGTGGGAGATATAAATAATTATATAAATGTTTATTATTATTATTTTAACTCCCTTCCGGCTAGGGTAATATTAACATAACAGTCATATTTTTATATTAATGCTCTGCGACCTTTCAGATTTACGTTCTCAAAGGCGAATCCTTGGCGGCGAGGAATTAAAGACAAACAAGCCATATTTGGTAAACATTTTCCTCTTTTGATACCGTTAATAAATTGTTTTTATATTAGAAATGTCTCAGGAGATTACAGCTTAAGCTTTGGAATAAAATTAACTTTTTTACAGATTCGCTTAAAAACAAAGAAAAACATGAAGAATAAGGTTTATTCTAATATTTTTAGTTCTAAGCGATATGATGATGGCACCGTCGACATCTGTCGAGCTTGTCGCCACCCTGGCGAATCACTTGGGCATGTCATCTCCGGTTGTTCGGCGCTTCCTACTCTTAGTATTTGCACAAACACAACCTAGTAGCCAGGATTTTACAACACGAGCTCGCTCTGAAATACGGTCTCGTGGATCGTAAACTGCCATATTATAAGTATTTGCCGGAAGCCGTGCCCGAAAATGACCGCGCCAGGCTTTACCAGGACCGGGCCATCATCATAGACAGGACTGTTCTTGCGAATAACCCTGATATTGTGCTGATGGACCGGGCACAGTCAAGGATATTTTTGGTCGACATTACCATTCCTTATGACGTGAACCTCGTGAAAGTCGAAACAGATAAGCTGACAAGATATCTGGACCTGGCTCACAAGGTAACCGACATGTGGGGTGGTCTATCGTCCGAAATTATTCCTGTGGTCGTTTCTGCGAACGGGCTGATCCCAGTCAGCCTCTCAAGTCATCTGAAGCGACTGGGATTCCGTGACGGACCGCTCCAGGCTCAAATGCAGAAGGCGGTGCTCGTCGATACCGCCCGAATCATCCGCCGGTTTCTTTCCCTTTGCCCCTAACCCTCGGCCGTTTGTTCTCCCCTGTCGAGGGCTTCCATCTCGTTGGGTTTTTATTTATTTATGTATTTATTTATTGATATTTATGTATATTTATATCTTTCTTTTACAATTATATATTTAAACAGCACAACCAGATGAGAAAACTATATTTAAAACCCAATAATAATAAGGGGCGGTGGTGGTGGAACCAAGGAACCACTCCTCATTGATGCAGTCATTGGCAAAGTAGTTCATCGCAACCGTCAGAACTCCTCCGTCGCCTGGCTAGACTACAGAAAGGCATTCGACTCGGTGCCTCATACATGACTGAAAAGGGTCCTCGAGCTGTACAAGGTTGACTGCCCCATACACTGCCGACTTCCTCGGGCAGTGTATGGGGCAGTGTACAATCCCTTGTCATCTAGGCGAGCGGATGATGGCTGCGGAGAACCACATAAGGATAGGAAGGGGTACCTTCCAGTGCGACTGTTTGAGTCCAATCTGGTCCTGCCTCTCTCTAAACCCTCTCAGTACCTTACTGAAGGGCTCTGGGAGGGGATTTCAGCTTCGGAAAAAAGGTACAAAAGTGATCTACCTTTTCTATATGGATGATCTCAAGTTATTCGCCTCCATTTGCTCCCATCTTATGGAATTGCTAAACATCACTTGTGATTTTAGTAATTCTATTGGAATGGAGCTGGGGACGGATAAGTGTGTGATCCTCCATGTCGAAAGGGGTAGGTTTGCCAACCCTGAAGGCATTGACTTATCTATGCTCATTGACATAAGGACCCTATCCGAGGCTGAAACATACCGATACCTGGGTATGTCACAGAACATAGGTATTGATGAGGCGGACATATGCACGCTTGATAAAATTGCTTAGCAGTCTTATGTCAGGCGTTAATAAGCACTTATTACAAGTAGTATTATAAGCAGTTATTATAAATCAAGTGACGGAAGCCGTTCTCGAAAATGACCGCGCCTGTCTGCACTGGAACCAGGTCATCATCACAGACAGGACTATTCTTCCGAATAAGCCTAATATTGTGCTGATGGACCGGGCACACTCAAAGATATTTTTGGTCGACATTACCATTCCATATGACGAAAACCTCGTGACTGCCGAAGCAGATAAGATAACAAAATATTTTCTCATATTTTCTCACGAGGTGACCGACATGTGGGGTGGTCTACTGACCGAAATTATTCCTGTGGTTGTTTCTGCGAACGGGTTAATCCCAGTCAGCCTCTCGGGTCATCTGAGGTGACTGGGACTCCGTGACGGACCGCTCCAAGCTCAAATGCAGAAGGCGGTGCTCCTCGGTACCACCCGCATCGTCCGCCGGTTTCTTTTCCTTTCCCCCTAACCCTCGGCCGTTTGGTCTCCCCTAGGACTTCCATCTAATTGGGATTTTATTTATTTATTTATGTTAGTATATAAAATATATATTTATATTTATTCATCATTTCCTTGAATATATTTATTCAGCCCAACCAGATGAGAATACTCTATAAATACCCCAAAATAATAAACCTGCACACGTGGATGCCGCCGTGAATCTTTCAGTTGCGGTGGATTCAGACGATGATGGAATAGTCGCCCATGAACTAGAGCTAATGAGGAGCACATTGGAAGAGGCGATAACGAAAACGCGCAGTACTCCTCTAGAAAATCAACCACAAATTCCCCGCACACCCCTAAGCAAGCGGAATCGGTCTGTCGTGAGGGCTCTTAGCCCAATGCAGGTGACCATTTGATTTGAAAGCCAGCCGAGATCTTTGTGAGACGGACTCAATTATTTTTGGTGCCGCACTGGCAGTCTGTCGTATTATAGGCGCCAAGCTTTCCTCGGCTGGATGCGCTACTGGACAAAGTAAAGCTATCTCAGCCTGGAGAAAAACAATTGAGGACTGTATCGCAAAGGCAATGGCTTAGAAACTTCAGCTCGGGTAATAACAGGCCAAGAGTTATGTGCACCGTTAGAATGCGTTTGCTTGGACAAATATCAGTTTGTTCCAGCCGGATATCACGCAGAAACTAACAAAGCGCATTGACCACCTGAAACAAAGAATTGTTGCTTGGGGGAAGCGGATTAGGCGATACACCGAGTAGGCGAGGTGGTTCAACCAAAATCGTCTCTTCCAAAGTGATCAGAAGCTCTATAAATTACTAGGAGGACCAATGATACGTGGAACGGGCCTAGCAACAAATTAGGCCGATACTGTCTCATTCTGGCGTGATCTGTGGTGGCCTGTAAACCACAGCGAGAGCCTTTGGACGGAAGTTGTGGCGAGTCAGTGTGCGAATTTTACGCTCATGGACCCGTCATCATAACGCACTACGATGTAGCTGAGGCGGTCCAAAGTGCCCTGAACTTGAAAAGTCAGGGGCTCGACGGGCTGTATCACTAGTGGCTGAAATGTTTCTTGGTGTATCACGCTGTGCTTACCCGACAGTTTCAAGAGGGTCTCGACCAGAAGTCGCTCCTAAAGACCAGGATACCACAGTCTCGAGCAAATACCCACCATATACAAGACCCGCGCGAGAATCACTCGTCACTTAAACTCTAATCAGGTAATGTCGCCCGCTCAAAATGGATTTGTGGCGGATTCTCCTTCGCAGCCACAACAAGGCGAACATTTTTCTACTCCCGTTCATGAGTGTACTTTTATCCACGTAAAAAGTACGTAATTTGCAATAAAACTAATCTTAAATATTTTATCGCGTTTCATTATAACTTTTTTTAATTATTTACGTTTCGGGCACTTTATAGAACCTATGAGCACGAAAGGGAATGGAGTGTTTAAAGTTCTGATATCATGGTTAACGAAGACCATCAACTTTTAATTTATAATGTTTGGTCATATCTACGCAGAACGAGCTGACAGTCTTGATGTCTTGCAGTACTATGCTGGGGTTTGGATTTTATTTTATTAATTATGAGATTCCAAGTAGATGGTAGCACCCAGCAATCTTCTTTTGTAAAATTAGGATGGTTTTTTTAAATTTCTATAGCCTCGCGAACCATTCTTGGTAGGAATCAGTGTTCTAGTTATTGGGAGAATTTGTTGTCTATCATATCTGGTACAATGGTTGGGACGATTCTGAACATGTTGACATGTTACAGACTTCCCGGAGAGTCAATGTTTCACATCAGCAATATGTACTTTTACGCGGGTTTTAATGGAACTTTCATCCAAAGATGTGTAAAAATTACTTGCGTAAAAAAAGTTAAAATTAAACGTGATAAAATCCATAAAATTAGTTTTATTCCAAGTAATAGTAACAGTATTCATCATTACTGCAGAACTTCATTTATCTATTTTATGGTGCCTATCAATAATAAATAGGTCCCATGATATGAATCAAATATCGCATATAAGACCATGAAATCATCATTATTTTGTTGAAACTAATTTAACTTTGGTTATGAATTAATGCAAAGAGTAAAATGTAAATAATAATAATAATAAATTTTGATTCCAAGACAACTTACCTTTCTTATACATCGGAAGACACGCCCGATATAAAGAAAATGGTAGTTGTTTCTAGACATATGATATTAATGCAATTCTGAAAAACTTATTTATTCACGTGTTCCTGTAGCTTATTATAGCTTTGCCAAATATCAAACATCTACGTACAACATTCTTAGAAAATTCAAAAAAAAATTGACAAACAGTCATAAAGACACATAAATTTTAGAGCAGAGCATTTAATGATCTTCCTAAATTGAAGCTCACGCGAGCGAAGCCTCGGGTTAAAAGCTAGTATAATGTAAAACAAAAATAAATAAAATGTGATTCATTTTCAGGTATACTTAGTAATATCTGAAAAATCAGCGAAAACGTATACTGGTTGGACATGTGGTGGAGTAATTGTGAGTCCGCAATATATTGTTACGGCAGCCGCGTGCATAGAAGATGTCCAATATTTATATGCTATTGCGGGATATAAAAAGTTTGTATCACCTCCAGATATTAAACAAGACAAGTGTACAAAAGAGATGAAAAAGAAAATTGTATATACGTGTGTTCCTAAATGTAAGTATTTATATTTTAAGAGATTTTGAATGAAAAGTCTGATTAGTGATTAAAAAAATACAAGAAATGAATAATTAACAGCATCAGGCGTGACTTTGTAGAAATCCATTATATTAAAGATGTTAATTGCTTAAATTAAAGTGTTAATTACCCGCGTAATAAAATAAGGTGATGTGAACTGAAAGTGAACTAGGTATTAATTTGAAGAGCACCTCTAGACCTCCCTCAATTGTGTGGACTATCTCCATCACTACTAATCCCAAAACCAATAGTAAAGATACACCACCGTCGGTAATACGACTCGTGGTTCGCCTTTAATCGAACCATCATCAGCTGACTCTGCGGTGGCTTAGGATTAGGGTTTAGCTGATTAATTTTTAACATATTATGTAACAAACGGATAGATAATTGCTTAAGCAAGAGATACAAACAAAAAGCAATAGTAACGGCTTATTTATACATGACACTTCTGGGCACAATCCATCCATTTATGACAGCCAATAAAAGTCCATTCCTGAACATAGGCTTGCCATATAGATTGTCTCGTAGGGGCTATAGTTGCCACTCTTGGTATGTGGGTGTCCACCACACTGCCCATATGCGTGTTGGCGAATTTTAGATGTCTTCTAAATATTTTTTAATTATTTATCAGATTTGCAGGTTTTCTTAAGATATTTTCTTCACCGAGGAGCTCAAATTTAACAATTTTATTGGAACTAGGGTTCGATTCGAACAGAACTCGAATACTTTGAAGTTTACAGTGAACTCTCAGCCCCTGAAACACCGCGTCTCCCTCCCTCCCAGTTTAACAAATGATAAAATACTACTGCAAGGGCATCTACGGACCACTAAGGATTAAAATAAAAAGTCTATTTTTTAGTATACTGGCAATTTTACATTTTCACCTAGAATACAGCAGTAGATTGCGTTACGGCAATAACAGAGAAGGGTACCACTAAAACCACATATATTGAAAAGTATTTTAATTACTCGACGAAATTTAAATTTGCTAATTTCTTTTTAGCTTACGAATTTGATTATGCTAATGTAGGAAAGTGGTCTGCTATAGATATAGGCGTAGCCAAAGTCGAGTCGCCTTATAACTTCGACGATAACAGATACCAAGAGATTTGTTCGTATAAACCAAATAAGATCAATATTAATTATGACCCTAAATACCAAGAGCCCGGAATAGATGCCCTAGTAATGGGATGGGGGCACCTGAAGCAATGGAGGCAAGTAAGTTAGCTATTACTTACTTACGAAACGCTTAATATATTATCATCTACCTTAACTTTTTATTTTGAATTACCTACCACTTGAAACATAATGATGGATCAAGATAATTTAATATAGAATTATTTCTTTCGTGCATTATTATTTACTTCGGATTGTCTGTAGGCACTTTACTAGCAACATCTTACCATCGGATCTCGAGACTGTCATTCTGTTAAAATTAATACAGTTAAATTGTTGTTCGAAAGGATTTTATGGTAAATATACAGAACATTCGGTTGGATTCATCATCATTATCATTACAGCCCTTCACAAGTCCACTGCTGAACAAAGGCCTCCCCCAAGGAATGCCACAAATCACGGTCCTCAGCCACTTGCATCCATCGACTTCCTGCATATCTTACCAGGTCGTCACTCCATCTAGTGGGGGGACGCCCTACACTTCGTCCGCCTTTACGAGGCCGCCACTCGAAAACCTTTTTTGCACATCGGTTGTCGGTTCTTCGAGCTATATGGCCGACCCATTGCCACTTCAGCTTACTAATCCGTTGACCTATGTCGGTCACTCTGGTTCTACTGCGGATATCCTCATTTCTAAGTTTATCACGCAGAGAAACTCCGAGCATAGCCCTCTCCATAGCTCGCTGAGCGACCTTGAGCTTCCTCATCCGGCCAGCAGTGAAGGCCCACGTCTCAGTTCCATAGGTCATCACTGGCAACACGCACTGATTATACAGTCTCGTTTTCAAGTTTTGAGGTATACTTGACGAGAAGATGTGCCGTAATTTCTCAAACGCTGCCCAACCGAGTTGAATCCGTCGATTGACCCCTCGGTCGAAGTTGGACTTACCTAGTCAGACTATTTGTCCCAGGTAAACATACTCGTCAACAACTTCGAGTTTAGTGCTCCCAACAACTACCGGCATAGGTGTGACATGGACATTAAACATGATCTTTGTATTGTCCATGTTCAACTTAAGACTTATCCGTTGGGAAACACTATTGAGGTCACTGAGCATAGTGCTTAGTTCCTCCAGCGATTCTGCCATAAGGACTATATCGTCGGCAAATCGAATGTGAGTGATGTACTCGCCATTGATGTTGATACCGCATCCTTTCCAGTCCAGTAGCTTGAAAACGTCTTCCAATGCAGCGGTGAAGTGTTTCGGGGATATAACGTCACCTTGTCTTACACCTCTCTGCAATTGGATAGGTTTCGTACTCTGGTTCTGTACTCGGATAGCCATCGTAGCCCTACTGTACAAGTACTTCAGCACTTCGATATACCGACTGTCAACTTGGCGTCGCTGAAGGGACTGCAGCACCACCCAAATTTCGACGGAATCAAAGGCTTTCTCATAGACATAGTGGCAAATTGTACTCCTCAGACTTCTGTACAATTTGCCAAAGGGTATGTATGTGGTGCTAAAGCCTTTTCGGAAACCGGCTTGTTCGGGAGGCTGGACGTCGTCAAGTCCGCGCGATACGATTCGTAATGACTCTCGAAAACAGCACGTAGACGCGGCTCAGAAGGGAAATCGGTCTGTAGTTCTTCAAGAGGGCGTTGTCACCTTTCTCGAAGAACAAGACGACCGCACTTCTGCTCCACACCTCCGGTGTAATGCCACCATGAAGGATGGAATTAAAGAGCTTCTGAAAGACTTCAAGTACCGGTTTTCCACCCGCTTTCAGAAGCTCCGCTGTGATTCCATCCTCACCTGGGGCCGTTTTTAAGGTGCTGGAGAGCCATTCTAATCTCACTCAGACTGACGTCCGGGATATCATCGGAATAGTGTCAGATAAGACTCGCTCTTGGATCGTGACTCACACTTGCGTGTGGCTCCAACGATGATGTGTACAGCTGCCCATAGAACCTCTCAATCTCACTCAAAATCTCAGGTATCCCGGAAACGACGCTGCCACACTCGGTTTTTAGCTTCGACAATTGGCTGTTTCTAGCAGACAGATCTCTAGCAAAGACTTTGGAGCCCTGGTTCCGCTCGATTGCTTCTTCAATATGAGCAGTATTAAAGTTGCGTAAGTGCCGCCGCATGCATTAGGAGATCTGTCTGTTCAGTTGCCTGTATGCTGTCAAATCTACTGAAGACTGCAGCTTCATATCCCGTCTAACAGCCATGAGATTAAGAGTGTGATCGGAGAGTTTTTGTGTTCTTCTGCGGCTGGTCTTGCAAAACTTAGCTCCGACCGCATGGACAGTTTCCACAAGCCTGTCATTCATATCGTCCACTGCATTGCAATCTTCTAAGCACTGAAAACGGTTTCGTAGCTCGAGCTGAAAGGTTTCGGGACTTTGGACTAGAGCACGAGGGAGACGGAGCGTTGACTTCATTAGACGTGACCTCTCCAACTTAACGTTTAGGTTCAATGTGCCTCTAACTATTCGGTGATCGCTGCCTGTTTTCACCCTCGCGATCACTGAGACATCACTGAACAGTTGTCGGCTGGTCGTCATAATGAAGTCAATGTCATTTTTTGTCGAAACGGTCGGGGCTCGACCTGGTCCACTTCCTGTGGGGCCACTTCTGGAAGAAAGAGTTCATCATAAAGAGTCCCTCTTTCTCTATGAAGTCGGCCAGCTGCTGGCCCCTTGAGTTCCGTTGCCTTATTCCGAATTTCCCTACTTTCAGCTCACCGTCCTTTTTTGTTCCTAGGTTTGCGTTGAAGTCTCCCATTAACACCATATAGTGGGTTTTGGAGGAATGCATGGCTCTAGAGATATCCTCATACATTTTCTCCACCTCCTCATCGGGGTGTGTCGAAGTTGGTGCGTAAATCTGTATGACCTTCAGCGAATACCGTTTGGTGATTCTGAGTATAAGTTACGCAACCCTCGTCGACACACTCCCAATCTCTTTACAACGTTGTAACGAGCGACTTGTGGACAATAAATCCGACACCTCCTTGGGACAGATGGTCGCCCTCCCGATGATAGAACAAGTTACCGGATTCGAGGATTACCGGATTACCATGTCCTCCCCCTCTCTTCGGACCTCGGATAATCCTATGATATTCCAGCGCAACTTGTCTATATCTTCTTCCAGTTCCATGATCTTCTCGTCAGTCGGATCGAGTCATCATGAGATTGATCGAATCGTCAGTTGGATTGTGTGCATATAATATACAGAACATATATACGGTTTATAACCACCAATTTCAATAAGATTACAAGGATAGAAACAGACAACCTATAGCCGAAGGCGGCTCATGGATCACGCCGCATTGAAAGCAGATTAGTCCATATGACTTTTTGGGGTGATTATAATAATGTATGTGAACCACCACGCGATCCAACCACGCCAACTTTGCTCACCGCTGACTTAACTGTCGTAGGCTCGCAATAGACTGCACATGTTTATTATGATACAGTATACACTGTGAACATTGCAGTTAAATATTGTATAATAAATATGGATGCAGGTAGCTCATGACCGTACTTCGTGGCATTCCTTGGGGAAGGCCCATGTTCAGCAGTGAACTACTTGTAAAGGGATGTAATGATGATAATGATGGTTGTATAACAGTGTTAAAGTATTTGAAGTCCGTTGCGGGATAAAAACTTTCTTTTTTTAAGTGATCGAATCGAAAACGATATTAGCGTAAAATGGTAGTATGATGTTGCTGTGTTCCAATAGTGCGTGACAAAAACTGAAGACCTTTATATGACGAGGCATTCCATTTTAGCCCCTAAGGGTCACAAAGCATCTGCATTTTGATTCTGAACGGATAGATGTAGATTGTCTAATCACGGCATCCATCTATTATCAAAAGGTCTGTGTGCTCGTTTGTCATCCTTGTTCTTACTAAAAAAAAAGCAGAAAATTTACTACTGTGATTTAGTGAAGTTTAGAGGATTTATTTATGTTTATGCAAGAGGAACGAGCATACGGCTCACCTTATGGTAAGAGTAGGCTCTGTTCTTAAATATCCATAAGTCCATTGTAAATTCCACAGTAACACGGTTCCTCGTAAATCCTCATGTGAGATGTGCTCACAAGTGAATGGAATTTCAAAGTAAAGAGATAATCGTTATATGTGCTCGTTAAATCCTCATATGAGATGTGCTCACATGTGGATGGAATTTCAAAGTGAAGAGATAATCGTCACATGTGCTTAAAGTATACTTAATTTGTCAATCATTTAGGTTTCCCCATTGTATTTGATATTGCCGCCGAGCATAAGGAAGTCTGCCTACAAACAAACACGAGCTGTTTAACTCTAGCATGATGCCCACGATAACGTAGTTAAGCTATGAATATCGCAGAAAATTTAAAAATTTAATAACCTCGCTTATTTTACATAAATCGTTTCCTTTAAAGCCCGGGGATGACACAATTTACACCCAAACGGAACCTCGATATGCATCAACGCAAATTTTGAACAAGAAGAAATGCAAGGATATATATGCGGATTTTCCTGACTTACAAGTTACTATAGACAAATACATGATTTGTACGAATGAATTTGGAAATATAAATGCTGAAGGTGATCAAATATCCACGATCAAACCAACTGCGGATGGATGTTCTGTTTTAAGATATGGGGTACGCTCTTCTAAACTGTTATTAGCTAATTTTATTTTCTCTTTTATTAAAAAACGTTACTCCACACTAGGATTTTCTCCTGTATCGTGGAGGCATTCATGATGTAATCAGATCAAGGTTGGCATGATGAAAAATAGTTAAAATTCTACCGACAGATCACCCGATTTCGTTCGGATCTCTCGCCGTTATAACCGAGAGCGTCAGTCTCTGGACTATAAGTAAATTAATATATAAGTAAATTACGGTCACTTGCGTCATCTACCATCATACAACTCTCCACTATAGTTTTTTAATGTCCAACGATCATCTTTGAGGAGGATTTGCCGACCAAATTTTTTGCACAACATTTTACATTCTAATATAGATTACCCAGAGTTACTAAGACTAAATAACTTCAATTCCAGTATACGACATGGTGTTCAAAAAATATTTAGATTAGACGTACAAAGTACACAGAATAACACTTCGTTTTTCAACCCTGTTGTCGAAATGTGCAGTGATTGCGAGTAAAGCTCAACGTCGACCTCGAACTAAACTTTTTTTTTATAGGAGAGGGGGCAAACGATCATGCGGCTCACCTGATGGTAAGTGACTACCGCTGCCCATGAACAACTGCATGGAGGGAATTGCAGATGCGTTGCCGGCCTTTTAAAAAGGAGTAGGCTCTTTTCTTGAAGGTCCCTAAGTCGTATTGGTCCGGAAGAATTGCTGGTGGTAATCGATTCCACAAGGAAGTTGTGCGAGGGAGAAAACTTCTTCTAAATCGCACAGTGGTGGACCGCCAATCATCCAGATGATATAGATGGTATCGCGAGTTTTGTCGCGATGTGCGATGGTGAAATTGAGCGGCTGAAATTAGTCCGAATAATTCCTCAGAGCACTCCCCGTGGTAGATGCGATAAAATACGCAAAGAGATGCAACATCTCTACGTATATAACTACTATCTGTTTGTGTACCTTATTACAAGTAACACACCTTATTCAATAATACAACACAAACACTCACGCCTGTCACCCAGAGGGGTAGGCAGAGACTACGGACTTCCATTTGGCGCGATCCTGACACACCTCTCTCGCCTCCTTTACAAGTACATCGATGTATCTACGCATACACACTCGTCGGTTAAGGGTACTCCTAATCTGGCCCATTTTTTATGTATCGCCGATTTGGTCGATAAACCTTTTTTTTTTATTTATTTATTCATAGAAAGAGTGTTACATAATTTACATTTCAAACTTTGCCAAACTGTATGCCAGTTTGTCGGCAACGCAACAGTTTATCGTTTCACACTCCTATATAACAATATAAGTTACTTATAAATACTTAAATTAACACACACATAATTAAAGAAACACTCACTACTAAGGACACAACGACAGGTAATGTTTCCTCAAGATTGTTTTGAGCTGCGACTTAGTTATGTTTTCGTCATAAATACCAGCAACCTCATTACACAAGGTCGGAGTTATCCATTGTCTTGTACGTCGTCCAAAGTAATTTTCAACCCTAGGTATGAGATATTTCCTCCTTTGTGTAACTTGGCGCTTCGGCATTATATATGTCTTAGGTTTCTTAAATGTTACCATACCATGCTGTTCTAATATGATGATGGATTTTACTTTCTTATCTATGGGAAGAATTTTGCAAATTTTAAATAACATTTCATAATTTTTATCTATAGCATTTTTGGTTTTACGATCAACTAATATCTTTAAGAATCTTATTTGTATAGACTTTATTTTGTTAAGATAAGTTGGGAAAGTAAGTCCATATGCACTTAAGCCATATCCGATCGTTGCGTCTGCCAGGGCATAATACAGCATATACATGATTCCTCGGTTCACCACATATTTTATATGATTCAGTTTACCTAAAACTGCCCTAAGCCTGCCACACACTAATTCAACATGCGAGTCCCATGAGAAACGATTATCTATAACCAACCCTAAATATTTATAGTTCGTTACACATTCTTTCATTCTTCTTCGTTACACTTGCTTTTCGCAGCAGCAGAGAGAACCAAACCGATCAGTATGCAGGCAATCGTAAGTGTGACCTATAAGAGCTATATCTACAGTTTTTATAGAACGGTTATATGGTGATGATATTACCATAAATTTGGTTTTACTCAAGTTTATGATAATACCATTATCGTGGGACCACTTTATTAAATTATTTAAATCCTGCTGCACTTTTAACTGTATCTGGCTACTGTGTTTCCCACTATAAACGAGGCAGGTATCGTCAGCATACATGTATATTCTACAATTCTTAATAACATTTACCATGCTGTTTACGTGCATTATATATCCGATCGGGCCAAACACATAGCCAGTCGGTACACCAAATTTCACTTTTCCTATCCTACTATCCATTCTGTTTACACGAACAACAATATTTCTATTTTCTAAATATTTTTTGAACCAAGTTTTCACTGGACCTCTTATTCCACATTCATCCATGGCCTGCAACAAGCACTCATGGTCCAAAGTATCGAACGCCTTTTTAAAGTCTATAAATAGAGCTACTACGATATTTTTATTATTTAAAGAGTTATTTACGTCATCTGAAAATGCTGTCAAGGCCGTCGTTGTACTTTTATTTAATCTAAACCCAAATTGAAATTCTGTTAAAATTTTATTTTTTTCAAGAAACACACCGATTTGTTTCATTAAAATTTTTTCAAATATTTTATTTATGTTACTTAATATTGCAATTGGTCTGTAGTTAGTGTAGTCTCTATGTGATCCATGTTTGTAAATTGGTCGGATAATTGCAGTTTTCAAATCATCAGGATAAATACCTTCGCAAATACAATTATTTATTAATGAAGCTAAAATGGGACTAATATACGCTTTTACTAATTTCAAGTCCCGTACCCGTATGCCGTCAATACCTGGTGACTTGTTGCAGTCCATGGAGTCAATAACTTTACATACATCCTTCCCCTCGATTTTCCTAAAACAAAAACTTACATTACAATCTTTAACATAACTAGGTCTATCAAAGAAATATTTATGACACGAATGGTTTAATTTTAATTGTTCAATTTCTTGTGTAAAAGTTAAACAAAAGTTATTACATATGTGTTCCATAGTTACCTTATCTCTTAAAAAGTATTTTTCTATGACATATATGTGGATTCGCAGCATACGTGTGGCCGGTGGCGACCACTCGCTGCAGCAGTTTTTGCAAGGCATTTCGTGAGCCCCGTAGCGGCCATAAGTACGTACAACAAGCGTATTTGTGACTGCTACGAGCCACATAAAATGCCGAAACTCGCCACTGACGCACTGTTTTATTATAGTTAAATTTGTGTGTGACCAATATATATCACGTTCACGATCATTTACGTTGTTTACTTATTCGAAATTTGAAATCCATCGCGAGACTGTATTTCAGACACAACTGTTAACCGAGTTATTGATAAGGCGGCTACCGACCTCCTGTCGCGGTCACTCAACACCAGCCACCGCAGCAGGTGGCGACCACTGCCGTGGTCATGGCCGGTGGCTCGTTTACGCAGATACCAAAGGTTTAATAACACAAACAAGTGCTGGCAAAACAAATAAAAGTTGAACAAACAAAAGACCACTTTGCAACTACACAACGATAGCTATATCAATTATAAACATCTGACGATTTGTCTGATTGTAATTTAGACATATCATGAAATGCCAGTATTATTAATCTAAAAACAGAAAGTATATTCAACACCTATGTTCTTTTTTTGTGTACCTATGTTCACCGATTTCTCGGAATCGTCTAAACTGATATATATATAATTCCTTTTTGAGTTTGCACTTCGGGGGTAGTCTCATTTAAATTTAAAGGAAAAATTCTCTTAGCGATTTAAGAGTGGTAAAATAGGGGATGAAGATTTTGTTGTAATTAGTTTGAACTTTTAAATAAAAGTTTAAATTGTTTAAGGTAACGTTACCCACACACTAGGGTGTTCCCTTGTATTGTGGAGGCTTTTTATATACATATTGCACATGAACAAATATCCAAACCCGGAAGTAGGAACATTTCCATTTCATTTCCACTGCGTTACCGAGCCATAAAAGCAACACTATACGATAGTTGTCAGATTAGCCCCAACATATATACTCACCTTAAAGTATGAGAACATTATTTTTTCCTACTCTTTTAAATAAAAACTTTTCTATGAATGTAACCTACAGAGTATTATGTAGTAATTTTCCTTGGCCGCATAATGCGTGGTCGTGTAATAATAAGAGGATATCCAGGCGGCGACAAGTCCATACAAACGTATTTCTCTGTTTTCTTCTTAGGGATGCACTTAATAAATTCCTAAAATTTCCCTATTATACTGTCCGTATGCTATATCCAGCAAACAAATTTAGAGATACAGGCCACAATCTGTATTAAAATTGTTCTTCTAAAAATGAACTCGAACCAGTTTTGGAAAAGGAAATAAGGGAATACGAGATTTCGTCAATTTGTCATAAGTATTATCAGTTACAGCTGCAGTCGTCTCTCTCACACACAACATTCAACACAGGGTACGGCGCAACAGCAATAGATCTGTTAAAATTACAAGAATGGTCTAAAGTTTATAACTTATTTTCTATGGCAGTTGTAGTGTGCAAAAATACTTCATAAAACGTACATGTATGTACAAACTTTATAAATAAAAAATAGTCTAGTTTATAAAACTTCCATAAGTACCTGAGTAACCTACTTTACGAGTCGTTTTTTTTTTAATTTTTACTCCTTTAACATGTAAGTAGAATCATACATTCACGACAAACCTTAGTAGTTTTCATGAACACGTTATATCCCGACATATACAGTTAAGTGATAATAAATGAAAAAAACCTATTCTTCAACTGTCTTACCGCCCTGTTTCCTCTTAAGATGAGAAAACATTTCTCTACTATCGGTTCAAACCTTATAAATACATATTTCAGAAACCTAGACCAGAATGTATAAATGACGGAAAGTATATCTATGACATGACTAGAAGATCTTCCAACTTCAACATAACTAACAACGTTAATACTAGAAGACAGGGAATTTGCCAGGTAAATATTTAATCATTATTTTCATTTTCATTTATTTCAATATAACCCTAGCTATCCATGAAAGCTTTCATAGTACATTAGTTAAATAAAAATTTATTAAGGTACCTAACATCGTGGTCCTGCTTTTAGTTAGTAAGAAATTATACACGAATGAGTTAATATGTAAAATACAATTATGGGAAAAAAATATACTCGCAAATTCCTTAACGTAAAAACACCAAGATTAAATTTTGTTCTTTATGTAGAATGGATATAAGACATGCAGGAAGTCGATGGATGCAGGTGGCTCAGGACCGTGCTTTGTGGCATACTTTGGGGAGGTCTGTGTTCAGCAGTGGACTTGTGAAGGGCTGTTATGATGAATGATTATGATGATATAAAAATCTAATCTGAAATTCTCTAAAAGTGACAAACCTTCAAAATATTCCCCTGTAATGTAGTACAGGCAGTAGTAGTTTCGTCCGAATTCAGACAATTGGACTCCAGCCACGGCTCTAATTCAGGTTGACAACTTTCGCATATTACTGCACTAGCGAAATTACTGCATATATCTGGTGATGATCTAGTGAGTACTCTCACGGTTAGCATCAACATTTAACAAATGTTTTACAAACAACAAGTTTTTTTTAGCAACTCACTACCGGGCAACCATTACTCTGAATGATATTCTGTATTGGAAAATTATCAGACGTTATATGAGAGTACATTACTAACAAAATCTCTTGTCTCATATTCTAGAATGACCACGGTGGGCCCCTCGTGACTTGGATTGGAGGGCATGAAGTTCTCATTGGAGTCGCATCAGTCTTCCGCGTCAATGCTAATTCACAATGCGAAGGACCGTATTTATTCACAAGCACTCAGTGCAACGGAGCTTTCTTATATTGTGTTTTAAATTCTGAGAACAGGTACTTTACGAGATTGTTTGTGTTTACCTCTGCTCCAACGTACTATGGCCACATCACGTATGAGTTGACTCGACCGGAAAAAGAGCATACTTGCACAGAATATCGACATAATGCTGTTTCGTATGTGATGAGTGATGAGAACCGGAGACCCCTTTTACTGGTACTGAGGCATTCCATTTATTATTCATGGGTGACAACGCATCTGTATTTTGATTCTTAGTCGAAGATATATGTAAATGTCAATGAGCCACAGCACCCACTTACCATCAGGTAGACTGTGTTGATTGTTGACCACCTACTCTTACTTCTAATTAAGAGAATCAAACTTTACTTTGCTGAATTTCATAATTAGTTGGCTAATATGTAAGTAAAATTGTAATTATTTGTCTTATCTTTATTTCTTATAATGGTAGGTGTATACTCGTATATATATAACCCGGTACGTCGGCGGCCCGTTTTGCTTTACACCTACCTATTAATTCCCTGAAATTTAAAAAACTAGTCCCAACCCGAAGGCTCGAAGTCGCATCGGCATCTGAAATAATACAAATAAAATAAAATCTTTCTTGCTTTTTTTTAAATATGTAAAATAATGCAATGACAGACTGCAATATCGTGATTGAAGAGGAACAAATTGAACAGGTGAAAGAGTTTGTGTATCTGGGTTCAAAGTTTACAAGAGATGGAAAGTGTGAGAGTGATATCGAAAGAAGAGTGAATGCAGGAAATATGGTGAATGGAGCTTTGCACTCCTTTATGAGCAGTCGGAAGGTGTCTAACAAGGCTCGTTTGGCTGTGCATGAGGGGGTGTTGGTTCCGACACTCATGTACGGAAGTGAAAGTTGGGTATGGCAGAAGAAACATGAAAGCAGAATAAATGCAGTTGAGATGAGAGCATTAAGAAGTATGATAGGAGTTAAACTGAGTGACAGGCTAAGAAATAGTGAGGTAAGGAAACGTTGTGGTCTGAAAGAAGATGTAGTGACAAAAATTGAGAAAGGTATGCTGAGATGGTTTGGCCATGTCGAGAGAATGAATGAAGAACGATTGACGAAAAAAGTGTATAAGGCGAGTGTGAATGAAAGTGTTGGAAGGGGTAGACCTAGGCGGACATTTCTAGACCAAATCAAGGACGTCTTGAAAAAAGGCCAGGTCAAGAGTACCCTAAACCGTAGAGCATGTATGAAGGGAATAATGAAAGTGGACGAAGCAAAGCAAGTATGTAAGGATCGTAGCAAGTGGAAAGAACTGGTCTCTGCCTACCCCTACGGGAAAGAGGCGTGATTATATGTATGTATGTATGTATGTAAAATAATTACAACATTAAACACAGACGTAACGTTTTTTTTAAAAAAAAAGAAAAAAAAAGAAATAAAATAAGAAATAAATAAAATAAGACGTGTATAATGTTTTACGTGGTAGAGCCATGCTGCAGCTATATTAATAGTATAGTTGTATCACGAATGGGTCGGCCGGGGAAAGACCACGCTCTCACCGTGGAAAGACCAACGTAAAATAGCAGCTTAACGCTGCTGTGTTTCGTATGGTGAGTGTAGAGAACAGGAGACCCTTTTTACTGGAAGTGAGGCATTCCATCTTAGTCCTCACGGGTGACAACGCATCTACATTTTGATTCGCAAACGAGGATAGATCTGGATGTCTATGGGCCACAGCAACCACTTACCATCAGGTGGACTGTGTGCTCGTTTGTCACCCTATCCTATAAAAAAAAGACAAGGAGCGCTACAAATCGCAGCGATATTCACGAGTTTTGTTTTTATTTTGTTTTAAACAAGTGAAATTTTTAAATCCTTTTTTTTATTTACCTTTTTTTTACCATATTATTGCATTGTCATTTGAGCTATATTCAAAATTTTAAGTTCAGCTTATCGGGAAGTAAGTTCAAAATCAATTACTAAATTCCCGACACGAACGAACGACAGACAAATAAGAAAGTGGCTTAATAAAAACGTGGTAAAATGAAATGTATTATTTGGTTTGTACAGCACCTCTCTCCCTCCCGAAAAACCCAACATCACTCACAATAGAAAATACACTACCGTAGATCCTTCCCCAATCGATAGTAGTCGATATACTATGTAGAAATAATTATGTAACGTTAAATAATTTACATTTTGATAAAAGTACAAACTGATTTGAAGAGACAACAACTAAAATGTTGTCCTAATAGTTAGATTAAAATCTTCATCCGCCATTTACGCACCCGCAGCGATGGGTTGTTTTCTTTTTTATATCGGGCTACCCCTGAAGTATCTATTTAGTAAATAAGTACGCATTATTAATGATAACTCAAAAACTACTGGTCAGATCTTCCTCAAAATTATATGGGATCACATGAGAAGCATCAGCTTTCAAACAGTAAAAGAATCATTAAAATCGGTTCACCTAGAAAAAGGTTCTGAGGTAACACACATTAAAAAAAAGTCGAATTGAGAACCTCCTCCTTTTTCTGAAGTCGGTGAGAAAAGCAAGCCTTTTGCAAGATCTCAAAAGTTTCATACTGATGGTTACGTCCTCAAGGATAACACGGATCTGATCATAGAATGCTGTAGCCATTTGCGATTAGATGAACTATTAGCTCGTTTCTCACTATAATAATAAGATTATTTACTTCTGAAATCGTCATTTGCCTCATTCAAATTAAGTATCAAAAAGTGTATTATTTAAAAAATAACACAATATATGTAATTTTTACAAGTTTATTTGCATTTCAGACGAAGGAACTCTATATGTGACCAATCGCCGCGTACACGAGGCTTCGATATGGTCCATAGACGCATTTCGTGGATAAATCATCCGGACGGGTAAAGATTTTTGTAGAAACTGTTCATGATTATCATTTTATATCATAAAAAGAAATCTAAATAAGATGCTACGAACGTCCCACAGCTGGGCACGCGGTGTTTCAATGCGTGATGTCGGATCCCATATGCCTTTAAAATATTTGCATCATATCCATAAAATATCTCTAGTTTAATTGTTTATTCTCTTCTGAAACAAACCATGCATGTTCGTGTTCGGATGAGATGGAAGATCGTGTCTTTCGCGGAATATAAATTATGTATATGCCAAAATTATTCAAATTTATAACACATTTTAAAATCCTTGATGGCAGTATACAATGAGTTGTTAGTTACTATATATATATATATATATATATATATATATATATATATATATATATATATATATGTATATATATATATATTTATATATATATAAACAGAGGCAACCTTGTGTTTCCCTCTATTAAGAAAATATTATCCTTTTACGTAGTTGTAAAATTACGTCACTTAAAGCGATAATATTTCAATCGTCAGATAACCGTTCCATCATAACCTGACCGAATATAAAAGTGAGGCAATAGGACTATTTTATACAATACAAATGTAATTTTTATTTGTTTATGTTGTATTTTATATTATAAATATTTTTTATCTCTTGATTGAAAAATTGGCCCTCAAAATTTAGAATGATAATGAATTATCATTGGATAATTTTGATTTTTGTTTCAAACTTTATTTGCCACAGTAAAATTCAATTCTACTTTGCGTGACCTTGCTTTGGCGCAGCCGAGATTGAACTCGTTTTCAAACGACTTCAAAAAAGGAGGAGATTCTCAATTCGTCGGAATCTTTTTTTATGTATGTTCATCGATTACTCAAAGACACGTGAACCAAGTTGGAAAATTATTTTTCTGTTTCAAAGGGTATACTTTCCAGGAGGTCCCATTTAAATTTTATCGAAATCAGTCGAGGGGTTATTAAAACATCAACTTATTGTTTATATTCATATTGAAGTCGTTGGTACAAAATTTTAAATTTAACACGTGCTAGTGTTAATCTCGTGTTAAACATTTAAATTTTAAGACAACCTTTCATCACCCAATCATAGCGATTCTATATTTTATGTCATAAATTTAACTAATTTCCATGCTATAATAATTTAAGAATAGAGTAAATACTGAAATTAATATAACTGTGTAGTGACGGTGTAAGAATATCCACTACCCCATATCGTCCCTTGGCAAACCAGGAATATGAACAGCAGCGTCTTCCTAATAACAACTAGAAAAAAAAATTGCGGTTGCCAACCTACCTGCCAAGCGTGGCAACTAAAACAAATATCCCTCATATGAGGCACTCTAGGGAGAGATCTATGTTCTGCAGGGGACTTCGATAGGCTGTAATTAATAGATTAAAACTAAAATAATGTTCATTTTTCAGACCTGCCGAAAATGAAGCAGTCAAAATTAGGCCCCAAATTCCTATAGGAGTTTTTGGATAGAAACAAGGTCTCGTAAGAGTTCATAATTTTAGTACTTTGTTAATAATAAGCATTTGTACAAGATAATAAACAATTAAACGTTAATTAGTTTTACTTGCTATTATCCCAAAAACTTTAAATTATTTTTTTTATAATAGCTGGACATCATTTATACGTGGTAGAGACACGCTGCACGTATATTAGTTACCTAGCCTGGCTAGTTAGTTGTAGCACAAAGAAATCGGCCCGAACGGGGTAGGACCACGCTCTCACAGAATCATCATCATCATCATTATCATCATTACAGCCCTTCACAAGTCCACAGCTGAACATAGGCCTCCCCCAAGAAATGCTACAAAGCACGGTCCTGAGCCACCTGCATCCATCGACTTCCTGCATATCTTACCAGGTCGTCACTCTGTAATGTCTGAACTCGGAAGGTGCTGAATGAAGGAGACGTGTTGCTTGTACAAGAACTTTAATTATACTGATCTTATTCTACCTTAACACTAATATATATATATATATAGTCGCAGGGGCTATACTACACTACACTACACCTCCCACCGACAAAAAAATTGAAAATAAATAAATACATTTGGGTTTTTTTTAACTTATAAAAATAAATATATAACTTTAGTCTAATAATAACACAAATTACAAAAGTAAATATAAATAGGTATATCCTATGGGTAGTTTGAGTGGCCAGATCCCTCTACACCATAGTAATTTCAAGGTCACAATATAATTGGTATGATGTATCATGCATACATACAACATACTTATTTGACATAATTAGGTAATTCGCGAAAATCTAGTATAGTTGTACATTCATTTATATTTTAAAATACTCTTGTCTTATTTATTTATTCATACATCTTGATCTCATTCCTTATTTTCGAGCTAGGCCTTTTTATTATTTTTTTTTTTCATAATTCTTGTACGTACTTTATTTTCTTGATATTTTTGACCCTTAGCTAGCTTCATGTCTCTCTATTCACTTGTATATTTATTTATTATTTAGATACCGGGAATCGGAGTATTAATTCATTTCATTTATATTTTATTTCGTGATATTTATCACGCGGGTACTTTACACATATGGGCGCCCCATTTACTTGGGTATTATATTAAATTTTCATTACATTTATTTCATTTTATTGGTACATTTACTTTTTTATCATACTATCTCAAGGTAGAACTGTACCTTGGGTTGTGCGCACAGCCTTGAGGGCTACGTTTAAGTCATTTTAAAAGGACTCCAACAATTGTCACGGAGGAAAACTAAGTTCACACTATGATCCAATGAAGGATGTGGCCTCTATGTACCATTATTAACGGTAACAATATTTAAGACTTCTCTGGTCACAAACAGTACTAATATGAGTAAACTCGTTCACATCTCACTTGTACCGAAGGTATTGTTCCCTAGTACCCGTTACTCCCGATTTTATCATCCAATCATGGAAACATACCTTGCTCGAGGACTATATGCTATACCAGTGATGGACGTTCCTGTATCTCTCCAAACATTGTTTATTTTTCTTTCTACTCTATTTATAGCTATTCTTCAATATTTTCATTTAAAATTATGTATTCCGTTACTTATACATAAATTTACTTACATCTTTTACAAATTGATATCATATAGTCTTGTACAATTATAGTTACATCATTGTCAGTCAGGGGTTGAGGCTCACAATATGGGCACAACAAAATTTAAATTAATTAATTGTATACATAATATAAAGAGTTTCAAAATTGAATTAAATAAAGTAATTATTTCCATAATCCACACAAATAAGCTAGATATTCCAACAGTTATCCCAAAAAATAATGAATTATAATAGTTAAAACCTTATGATACGAAAGTTTAATCAATATTAAAAATGAAAAATAAATTATTGCATTTCATATTAAGATATAGAACAAAGAAATCAAAGCAACGTAATAGTTTTCAATAACAATAACATAATCGCATAACGACAGACAGATCAAAATACAAATTGTAATTCCACTCCTAGCAGTGCAAGCGATTTGAGACACCTTTGTTTTAATTACCAAAGTACGTATATGGAAACGTTTGCAATTACATAATATGATCACCTTATATTGATATAACTTATACAATGTTATTATTATACATACATATATGGATACAAGTAAAATGGTTGTTTTAAATTCCTTATTTACACTGAATTTTAGACACATTACTTTTGCTTGAATCGAAAAAGATACTAGAAGTATGGTATTTACTATATCGTTTACAGAAAATAATTGAACAATTACTGTAACACATATCAACTTTACACAACAAACATTAATTTATTTAAGCATTCAAAAGACATATAAGTAAAACTTTAAGGTTCACTGCCTTTATAAAAAAAAAATCTAATACTTATTAACAATAATAAATTGTTTTTAAATAAAATTTACTACAGAAAAAAACAACGAAATATCATATTTAACAATATATCAGTATTATTTTAATTATACGAAAAATTAATTTATGGTAAACTATGGTAAATTTAAGTACGTAAAAATGTAATCTAATATATAATTTCATTCGTTTTTGTATTGTATCCTGCACAGTTATAAAAATAATATGAAACAATAAACAATAACTAAATAAAATGTAACATAAAATTGTCTTGTGCCTTAATACAAATTCCATAAGTGCCTAAAATGTAATGTGCTTGATTTTTGATATTGTATTATGATTGCATTTGTTTTATTTATAAATAGTGATAAAATATTGAAAAATCAATTGTAACGTGAGCTATCTGATAAATAAGTTCAATTTAATCATACGTGTATTAAATATTCTATATTTATTCTATACATATATATTCTATACAAATATTATAGCAAAAAAAAATATAAAAACAATCTCAAATTGATAAATAAAGTTTTAAATGGAATTAAAATCACACATGTGCGAAGTTACCTCTTAATTTCTTCTTTGTTCTTTTCGGCTCAATTTTCACATTCTTCTGGACGAAGCTTTTTTTCAATACCTCATTTTTAGCTCATTTTTAAATAAATCTGCCGTTTCTTAAATTTTGTTCTTTGGTAATTATAAAAAAAAAACACTTTTTATTTTCCTCATTATTTCTTAGTTGCTTTCATAGTAGGTACTATTATACCTTTAAATTATATTACTTCATGTTCATTATAATTTTTATATTTCAGTCAGCTTCTGTAAAATTTTTATTGTGGCCTCTTCTTTTATTCATATTGATTTATTTTTCGTCACATCCGGTAATGTGTCCATTCTGTTATATTATAATTTTCTTTTTTAAATGGTTAATCCATGATGATTTCAATTTTTTTTGTAATATTTTTTTTTCTTTATGTAGGCCCAGCGGTGCGCGTGCAATGTAGCAGCGCACCGCCTGGCAGGGTCGCCATGTAATATCGGAACTCGGAAGGTGCTGAATGAAGGAGACGTGTTGCTTGTACAAGAACTTTAATTATACTGATCTTATTCTACCTTAACACTAATATATATATATAGTCGCAGGGGCTATACTACACTACACTACAATATAGGAACTATGTCAATAAAATTGAGACGTGTTGCTGCTTCTATAACTTTAATTATACTGATCTTATTCTACCTTAACACTAATATATATATATATATAGTCGCAGGGGCTATACTACACTAAACTACAACTCCATCTAGTTGGGGTACGCCCTACACTTCGCCGGTACGAGGCCGCCACTCGAGAACCTTTTTTCCCATCGGTTGTCGGTTCTTCGAGCTATATGGCCGGCCCATTGCCACTTCAGCTTACTAATCCGTTGGACTATGTCGGTCACTCTGGTTCTACTGCGGATAAACTTATTTCTAAGTTTATCACGCAGAAAAACTCCGAGCATAGCATCAGTTCCATAGGTCATCTAGTAGGACGGAATTAAAGAGCTTCTGAAGGACTTCAAGTACCGGTTTTCCACCCGCTTTCAAAAGCTCCGCTGTAATTCCATCCTCGCCCCGGGACATGCCGTTTTTAAGGTGCTGGAGAGCCATTCTGATCTCGCTCAGACTGACGTCCGGGATATCGTCGAAATAGTGTCGGATAAGACTCGATCTGGGGACGTTACTCACACTTACGTGTGGCTCCAACGATGATGTGAACAGCTGCCCATAGAACCTCTCAATTTCACTCAAAATCTCAGGTGTCCCGGAAACAACGCAGCCACAATCGGTGTTCAGCTTCGGCAGTTGGCTCTTTTTGGCAGACAGATCTCTAGCAAAGTCTTTGGAGTCCTGGTTCTGCTCGATCGCTTCTTCAATACGAGCAGTATTAAAGTTGCGTAAGTCCCGCCGCATGCATTTGGAGATCTGTCTGTCCAGTTGCCTGTATGCTGTCAAATCTACTGAAGACTGCAGCTTTATATCCCGTCTAACAGCCATGAGATTAAGAGTGTGATCGGAGAGTTTTTGTGTTCTTCTGCGGCGGGTCTTGCAAAACTTAGCTCCGACCGCATGGACAGTTTCCACGAGTTTGTCATTCATATCGTCCACTGCATTGCAATCTTGTAGGCACTGAAAACTGTTTCGTAGCTCGAGCTGAAAGGTTTCGGGACTTTGGATTAGAGCGCGAGGGGGACGGAGCATTGACTTCATTAGACGTGACCTCTCCAACTTAACATTTAGGTTCAGTTTGCCTCTCACCATTCGGTAATCGCTGCCGGTTTTCACCCTCGCAATCACTGAGACATCACTGAACAGTTGTCGTCTGGTCGTCATAATGAAATCAATCTCATTTTTGTCGAACCGTCGGGGCTCGACCAGGTCCACTTCCTGTGGGGCCGCTTCTGGAATAAAGAGTTCAACATAAAGAGTCCCTCTTTCTCCATGAAGTCGGCCAGCTGCTGGCCCCTCGGGTTCCGTTGCCTTATTCCGAATTTCCCTACTTTCAGTTCACCGTTCTCTCTTGTGCCTAGTTTTGCATTGAAGTCTCCCATTAACACCGTATAGTGGGTTTTGTAGGAATGCATGGCTCGAGGGATAT